TTTTGTGGGGAAATTTGGCACCTATTACGAACTCAAAATACTAAATTACAGCTACTTCGGCGGAAAAATACGAGCAAAACCCCTAAATTACTGAAAATTAGGAGGTACCGTTATATGGAGACTACCAGAAAAAGTGGACCTATATTAATTATTTTTTGTGAAGACATTTAGTACCCAATAGGAACCCAATGTAGAAAATTTCAGCTAATTCGGTTGTAAAACGCGTTCACGAACCCCAAAATACCGAAAATTGAGGGGTACCGTTATATGGGGGGTACCAGAAAAAGTTGACCTATATTTATAATTTTTAGTAGGAAGATTTGGTACCCAATAAGAACTCAAAGTAATAAATTACAGCCAATTCGGTGGAAAAATGCGACCAAAACACCCAAAATACAGAAAATTTGGGGTACCCTTATAGGGGTGCCATCCTAAAAAATGGACCGATATTTATAATTTTTAGTGGAGAGATTTGCTACCCAGTAAGAACTCAAAGTACCAAATTTCAGCGAATTCGGTTGAAAAACACGATCAAGAACCTCAAAATTCCGAAAATTGGGGGGTACCCTTGTATGGGAGCTATGACTAAACGTGGACCGATATAGCCAATCTTCGAACTTGACCTGCCTGCAGACCAAATACTGTATACAATTTTGGGGCTCTATCTCAATTTATACCCTCCATACTATGGTGGTTGGTATAAAAAATGAGTTGAGTTGTCGTTTTAGTTGCCCACACGCGGAAAAAAACTTCTACTATGAAAAAGCAACGAAGAAGAAAACCAAACCCCCCAAAGTTGACGACCCCCACAAACCTATAAACAACAACGAATCTACACTTGAAATGTGCGAACTTTATACAGAACAGTAAGTGCAAAGTCAATATTATTGCCTTACAGAAAATGCGATGGAAAGGGATTGGCGTAGGTAAATCAGATGATTACGCCCTATATTGTAGCTGTCATTAAGCGAGACGTGAATTTGGTGAATAGGAGAATAAATATATCCAGATTCACTCCTATAGATGAGCGAATTGCTATAATCCTTATAAAAGCGTAGTTCTTCAACATCAGTCTTATTTGTGCTCATGTTTCGACGGAAGATGAAGATGAACAGATCAAAGACATATTTGAAGAGCGCCTAGAAACAGCGTATGACCGCTACCTTGGCCATGACATTAGACTTCAGCTAGCAGATTTGAATGCAAAAATCGGAAGGGAAAAACTATTTTTGTCCTCGCCGTTTGAAAATTCAGTCTTCTGAAGAAACATCCGACAACGGCATGAGGTTGATTGACTTCGCGGCAGCATCATGATAGTTAACAGCATCAGATTCAAACATCTCGATATACTTAAGAAATCAAATTAACCATGTTGTGATAGACGGAAAGCATTCATGTTTTTGACGTTCAATCGATCCGAGGAGTGAATATCGATTCGGACCACTACCTGGTAGCAGCCAAGGTTCGCACTCGTCTTAATGTAGCAGTAAAGGTGTGATCTAATACAACACGGAAACACAAAATCGAAAAGCTGCTTGCTAATCGAAACCACTCATTATCCCGATAATAATATAAAAGCACAATGGCAGAAAATTGAACTCTCCCTCCAAACTGCAGCAAAAGCAACACTGGGGTACCAAAGACCACCATCAAGAAACCCATGGCACGATCAAGAGTGTCGTAATGCTACTGATGTGAAAAACGCAGCGTATAGGGCAACCCTGCAGTCAGTAGCAACACGAAATGCTATGGAGAATTAACGGGAGAAAAGGAAAGAGGATAAACGTATTTTCAGAAAAAAGAAGAAATAACAAGAAAAGGGTAAGCGTGAGCAAATCGATATGTACAGGAGTCAGAATGAAGTCCGGAAATTTTACCAACGAGTAAAACAGAAATCCAAAGGCTTTGGTGCAGGTACATCCTCCTTTAGAGATGAAGATGAAAACCTGAGGATCTGGAAGGAGCATTTTGCAAAACTTCTGGTATCAAATAGTGGCGGCAAAGATGATATCCCAGAACCAATAAGAGATGACAATATAGATTGTATACCACCTAGCCAGGTCAGAGTAGTAATAAGTCGGCTGAAAACCAGTAAGGAAAGTAGTAAAGTCGGACGGGGCCGACTATATGATACCCTTCACCACTTTAGGTATGTTCAACAGATGAATTCTAACAGACGTCGCATTTTAAAGGACTAGTAAAATGAAATTGGATCCATAAACATGTCATTCTGCAGCCGATACTAAATTTTTCATTTGGTCAGAAATGGAAGCTAAACCTAAATCTGAACCGATTCTCAGGAAACTTAACACGCATAATTTTAAGCCTAATTCATTACACTGTGCCAAATTTGCGCACATCGGCAGATATATAGGGCCTTTGGAGCACCATTTACATTAAATCGGACGAAAATATATATGGGAGCTATATCTAAATCTGAACCGATTTTCAGGAAACTTAACACACATCATTCTAGACCTAATTCAATACGCTGTACCAAATTTCGTGCAAATCGAACGATATATAGGGACTTTGGTGCACCATTTACATAAAATCGTACGAAAATATATATGGGAGCTATATCCAAATCTGAACCGATTTTCAGGAAACTTGACACACATCATTCTAGACTTAATTCATTCCGCTGTGTCAAATTTCGTGCAAATCGAAAGATATATAGGGACTTTGGAGACATATTTACTTTAAATCGGACTAAACTATGTATGGTAGCTATATCTAAATCTGAACCGATTTTCTCGAAACTTGGCACACATTACTCTGCACCTAATTCAGTACTCTGTACCAAATTTCGTGCAAATCGAAAGATATATAAGGACCGTTTACATTAAATCGGTCGAAAATATATGGGATCTATATCTAAATCTGAACCGATTTTTCTCAAATTCAATAGGGTTCGTCCTTGGGCCAAATAAGTGACCTATGCCAAATTTCATCCAATTCGGATTATAAATGCGACATGTACTTTGTTTACAATTTAACATGGACAGACGGAAGGACGGACATGCGACTCAGAAAGTGATTCTATGCATATTCTCAAAAGGAACCATGGGTCTATCTCGATTCCTTTTGCCTGTTACAAACATATGCACAAAGACATAATACCCTGTACCACAGAGTGGTGAAGGGTATAAACAATAAAACAGCAGGTGTCGAGGGGTTTCCAGCCGAACGATGCAAGACCGGTGGTCAGATGCTGGTCAGGAGCATGCACCAGCTGATTAGTACAATTAGGCTAGAAGAATGCATGCCCAACGATGGGAACCTCAGCATCCTGTGTCCCTTGCACATAAAAGAAACCATGACGATATGTACCAACTATAGAGGAATAAGTCTCCTCCCCATCGCATATAGAGTGCTATCCAGCGTTCTGTGTGAACGAGTGAAGCCAATGATCAATGACATTATTAAACCAAACCAATTTTCACTCTGCGGCAAATCCTGGAACAGATCCACGAAAAACACATTCCACCTATTCATCGGCTATAAAGCCGCATTCGAGAGCCCTATTTGACCAGAGGTGTTTGAAGCCATTAATTAATACGGCTATGCAGGATAACTTTAAGTGGCATAAGGTCAGCAGTTAAAGTTGGAAAGGACCTAACGAAGCCCTTTAATACCGAACGAGGATTCAGACAAGGTGACAGTTTGTCGTGTGGCCTGTTTAACATTCTACGGTATGCAAATATGAACAGAAATGACACTCTGTAAACCAAACAGCACATGTTACTCGCCTACGCCGATGACATCGACATAATGGGTAGAACTTTGCGAACGGTAACAGCCATCTTTGAACGAAATGAGAAGGAATCTGCCAAAGGGAGACTGATGGCTATAAAGCCTCATTCGACAGCCTTATCCGACCAGAGGAGTTTAAAGCCATGTCTGTGTTCGGCATTCCTGCAAAATTAATACGGCTATGCAGGATAACTTTAAGTGGTACAAGGGCAGCAGTTAAAGTTGGAAATGACCTATCGAAGCTCTTTAATACCGAACGAGGATTCAGGCAAGGTGACAGTTTGTCGTGTGGGCTGTTTAACATCCTGCTGGAAAAGGTCATACGATAAGGAAATATGAACAGAAATGGCACTCTGTACACCAAACAGCACATGTTACTCGCCGATGCCGATGACATCGACATAATGGGTAGAACATTGCGAGCGGTAACAGCCGTCTTTGAACGAAATGAGAAGGAATCTGCCAAAGGGAGATTGACAGTAAATGGCGAGAAGACCAAGCTGATGATATCAACGCGCAAGACGTCCTAATAACATCATTTTGAAATCGGGAGGAGAATAGTGTTGGCCAAAATATGCTACTATGGTCTGAATAGGCAACTCAAAAGCATGCCCTATGTTGGCTAGGTCATGTTGTGAGAATGGATAAGGATTCCCCCAACTCAAAAGGCATTCTAGTGAGCCAAGTGATCAAGTAGAAGACAACATCTCGGAACATGGTCAAGACTGACGCCCTTGGAAATCTTTTTTAAACTCGATTTATTGAACAAACGTTCTGCCACAAGCCAATTTCAGAATTGTAACTGTTCCCGTGTAGTTCAATATTTATTTATTATTAGTGCAAATTTCCCAAGGACCCACATTTTTATACCATTTCACCACAATTTCAAGACGTTTCGTTTCTTTCGCAATAGATAAAAATGTTCTGTGTAAAGTTGACCACACTCATTGAAACATTCCGGTCCAGTATATATTAATCTGGGGTTTCTAACGGAAGCTATACGCTATAGTCATTACTTATAACCATTAGGACGATTTCGAATTTTAATACTTAAAAAATAATTAAAAAAAAAAATATTTCATTAACGAATAGTAGTACAGACAATTACACAATCACTAAGACATCAAGAGATTTTAAAGACCGCCTTCTAAAATCGGACTCTAATGAATACATACACACACACACAAAGAAATACTGCTGGAAACCTACAGTTCCATAATCGATTAACATTCAATTCAACTTACCGACATATGTGTATCACTGGTATCGCTCTTGTCATCATCGTCACTAAAATCACCACCCGACAATGGATCCTCTTGGAATATTGGACTGTTCGAACGATGACCACGCTGCATTATCGGCGTCAATGCTGGCGACGGTATGGGCGTGGGCATTTCACGTATCGGCGACAGGCACTTATTGTTAATGCCACTGCTTGGTATCTCTAGCAATATTGTCGGTGGGTGCAGCAGATTAGCCGATGATGACGATGTCGACGATGAGGGCGATGTACTCTTGTGCGCATTGAGAACATCTAAGACAGGCACTTCGATAGTTGTCTGGCGATAGAAGACAGGCGAATCCGGTGGTCCACTTGAATAGCTAACCGGTGTGTGCATTGATGATGTCGACGACTCATCATCACCGGGTGCATCATCTTGTGGGCTGGAAATGGTCGGCGTGGTCGAGGGTGAAACAAATACTGAGGCCGATGTTGATGGTATGGTGGCCGTTGTTACGTTGGACGTATTGGCGGCAGCAAAATTTCTAAACATGGCCAATATCGAATCGGCACTGGACACCTTGGGTCGGGCCGGTGAGCCAATGCGACAGCGTGGCGGTGGCAGACCCATGGTCAGGCCACTCAGCTGATTGTTGTTTGTACTGCCCATTTCACTGCCACTGGTTTGTATGGAACGCAAACCGAAATCGGTTAATGCCAGATCGGAACTTGAAAAGGAATCACTGCCATGATTGGAGGTGGTGCTGTGCGGTGAGCGTATGTCATTGGTGCAGGGTGATGGTGGCATGGAACTAGCTCGCAATTGTATATCAGTTGGCAGGCTAAGGGCACTAGAGTTACGAGTTGCCTGTTGGGAGGAGATGGGTAGCAAGGAAAACCAAAGGTTAGACTTTGATGGTCAAGTGAAAAAAAACGTCGTTAGTAAAGGAAAACACATAGAGACTAAAAATTCACGTTATAAAAAAAAGAAAACGTTATCTAGCCCATTACTCTAGAGACAAGTTTGACACAACGTGTTGTTTATGATTCTCAGACAAACAATTGGTGGGAAGTGTGTATGAAATGGGCATGGCAAGATGGGCGAATGTCTTTCATTGCTCGCTAAGTGTTTAATGAATGGCGATTTGGTTTTTCTTGTTCTTGAAGGTGAGTGTCCTTTGCAACTACATTCATGATTGATGACTACAAAGAAGAAGTTGCATTGCTTTGGTGGTGTTTTGCAAAGAAGAAAAATTCGCTACAAATGCGTTTTTTGGTTTGTGCTCTCAATTTTTTGTGAATTTAGATTTTGACATAAAATTCAATACTTTTCTTTTCTTTTGATTTGGGGTTTTTAGTTTTGTGTTTTTTTTAGACAAATGCCTCCTTTTCTTCTTCGTTGTTGGGATGAGTTCGTATGTAGAGACTCTTTGATTTTGCCTGAGAATCATAACCCATTTTTCGTTTGAACAGAGTAATAAAACACATAAAAATAAATTACAAATTTTAATGATAAATGATAAAGTAAAAAGATTATGATTTCATTTTCGAAATGTTTGTAATCTACACCACATTTTTAACTTTTGATGAACATATTTTAGGATTTTATAAAAAAAACAGTATTTAAACATCGTCATATTTCATTAGAAGGAAGTCATGCTGTTTATGGGGTTTTAAAAGGCCTCTTGTGGTCTTACAGCTTTTACCATGATGTAAAGTATATTTAACACTTAACATTCCGTTTGCAGCAACTCCAAAACAATTTCAAGGATGCCCCATAAACTATATGTATCCTGGTTCAAAATAAAATTTTATTGCGATTTAGCAATATCTGTCCGTATGCCATTTGAAACCACACTATTGCTTTTACTCCCGAAATGCTTTGTATTCAAAATGGGATATATCTGATCAGGTTTTCATATAGACCTCATATAACGGTAATGTCTAATTTAAGGGGACCCCCCATTCTCGGGGTCAAACATTTGTTTGATTTAATTCGAATCTACACTAATTTAAGAATGTCCTACAAAATTTCAAGTGAAAATCTCAAGAACTCTTGAACATATAGCCGATTTATTGTGTCAGCATCAAGTGACGGCTAAAGGGCTTCTCAAACTTTAAACGCGTTTTTCTCAAAACGAATGGCGGGCACGATAACTCAAAAACTAATAATCCAATCGGTTTCAAATTTTGACACGTTTCTCTAGGAGTGTGTAGCTCTCGTATGAACTAGGATAAAGTCAATCGGTGAAGATCTTCCTTATTTTTATACCCTCCACCATAGTATGGAGGGTATATTAATTTTGTTTTTCCGTTTGTAACTCATCTAAATAATCATTTCCGACCCTATAAAGTATATATATTCTTGATCAACGTAAAATTCTAAGACGATCTAGCCATGTCCGTCTGTCCGCCTGTTGTAATCACTCTAGCGTCTAAACGTCTGCAGGCAGGTCAAGTTCGAAGATGGGCTATATCGGCCCATATAAGGGTACCCCCAAATTTCGGTATTTTGGTGTTATTGGGCGTGTTTTTTAACCGAATTCGCTGAAATTTGGTACTTTCAGTTCTTATTGGGTACCAAATCTCCCTACTAAAAATTATAAATATAGGTCAATTTTTTCTGGTACCCCTCATATAACGGTACCCCTCAATTTTCGGTATTTTGGGGTTCTTGAGCGCGTTTTTCAACCGAATTCGCTGAAATTTGGTACTTTCAGTTCTTATTGGGTACCAAATGTCTCCACAAAAAAATTATAAATATAGGTCCACTTTTTCTGGTAGCCCCCATCAGGGACGTACGCAGGGGGGCGGCCCTGGGGGCCCGGGCCCCCCCCCCCCCCCCGAAATGATTTTTTTTCACAGTAAATTTATGTTTGCAACAGCGAATTTTTTCATTTTGTACTGACGGGCCCCCCCCCCCCCCCCCGAAATGAAATCCTGTGTACGTTGCTGGCCCCCATATAACGGTACCTCCTAATTTTCAATATTTTGAGGATTTTGAACGTATGTTTCCGCCGAATTAGCTGTAATTTATTATTTTGAGTTCTTAATAGGTCCCAAATCTATCCACAAAAAATTATGAATATAGGTCCAGTTTTTCGGATAGCCCCCATATAAGGGTACCCCCAATTTTCGGTATTTTGGGGTTCTTGAGCGCCTTTTTCAACCGAATTTGGTATATGGTACCAAATCTCCCTACCAAAAATTATTAATATTCGCCCCCATTTTGGGGTAGTCCTCATATAACCCCCTTTTTTATATTAAAATGGTTATCTGATTTGTTCCGCGTTTCTTTGATGTAATCATTTCACCTGTGGAGGATATCGAGATAGAACGTAAGGTTCGATAATGAACTATAACCCGCATTTAGACCTAGCCCCTGTATGGAGGTTCCAGAAGAAGTGTACCGATATTCCCCATTTTCGAATTTGAACTAAGATTGGAAGAAATAATAAGATGGACAAAGTTTGGATGAAATCTAAATTTTTTGAAACGGATTTGGTCCAAAGAAACATGAGGTCTAGAACCAATATTTCGATTAGCCACATTTTCACCGTGTTAAAGTGTATACACCCTCAATAGCGATAAATCTGAGGGTATAATTATCCATTAAATATTTCTGAATTTTTTATTTTTTGTTACATAATCCCTTTTTAGAAATGTCGGTATAGGTCTACTTTTTGGTATGTTCCCTATATTTTCATTTCTAGTACCTGTCAGTATATCTATGGTGGAGGGTATCCAAAGTTCGGCCCGGCCGAACTTAACGCTTTTTCACTTGTTTAACTTGGTTTTTGGTCAAAAATCGGCGATTTTCCAAAAATATTTTTTCAAAGGTCCGCCATTTTATTAATTTTAGAGCGATGTCAATAATCCTAGTTCATACGAGAGCCAGACATGTACTCTTTCTAACACCGTTGGAATTTTCGGATTCCGATGTTCCAGTGAGGAGTTATAATGCCCGCCTTCAAAAATAAGGACTTCTCTTTAATTACAAAAAACAACAAAACAATTACAAAATTTGTTTGTAAATTATTTTTCTTCTCTTTTAAATCTTCAAATATATATGTGCAAAGTTACAAACCTTAACAAGCATTGTAATTGATTTAGCAGCTCATTGAAAATCTTGAAAAATTAAAATCGAGAATGGGTGGGGTTTCCCTTAAGGTATTTTGAAGAATTCAAACAGAGCTCCCTACTGAACTTGCTTTAAAATTGTTCAATTTCTTCGCAGAAATTTGTCGATATATCCTATATATCCTATTTTATTTATTTTGATGGACCAGCCAAAAGGAGACAAGACGATATGTGCCAACTATAGTGGAATCAGTCTCCTTCTCATCGAATATAAAGTTCTATTCAGCCAATGGTCAATGACGTTATTGGATCATATCAATGTGGCTTCAGACTTGGCCAATCCACCATAAACCAGATTTTCACACTTCACCAAATCCTGGAAAAGACCTACAAAAATACATCGACTATTTCCACCTTTTTGTCGACTATAAAGCCGCATTCGACAGCCCAAACCGCTAAGTGGTATTTAAAGCCATGCCTGTGTTTGGCATTCCTGCAAAATTAATACGACTATGCAGAATAACTTTAACTGGCACAAGGTTAGCATTTTAAGTCGGAATGAATCTCTCGATCCCTTCAATACCGAACGAGGATTCGGACAAGGTGGCAGTTTGTCGTATGACCTGTTTAGAATCCTGCTGGAAAATGTTAAATGTGAACAGTAGTGAGACTCTGTACACCAAACAGCATATATTGGCCAACAGATGCTACTATGGTCTGAGTAAGCAATTCAATAATAAGGCCACCTCCCGCCATACCAAACTCACAATAACGCTGATACTTTTCGTGCTGTTATATGAATCTGAAGTATGGGTACTTGCGCAAGCAGATGAGGCAACTCTTGGACTGTTTGAGATAAACATTCTGTGCGTCAACTGTGAACATCGCCGTCGAATGAATCATGGGTTTTACCATCTATTCTCAGACATTGACATTGTCAGACGTATCGATCTGCAGCGACTACGTTTTCTAGGCCATGTTGTGAGAATGACACATACAAGCGAGACAACTGGTGGTTCACGTAGAAGGGAAAGGACAAGAATTCGATGGAACGATCATGTAGAAGACAACGTCTCGGAACATGTTCTTTCATATTGGATGAACGCACACAAGACCGACGCGCCTAGAAACCTTTTTTAGGCTCGGCTTATGGAACAAAAGTCTGTCACAAGTCATTTAAGTAAAGTAAGTAACCTATGAGGAGGTAAAAACCGTTCAAATACTCATGTCTTTAAAAAATCTTCGTCTATGGAAGCCATCGGATCTTCATACTTTCTATTCTTTAGGTCAGGATATTTTTGAAGATTCTCTGACATTAAGCCTTCTTGCTCCCAGCTCAGTCTTTTCTATAGATTCAGTATAGAATAAAATACCCCTGTCCTCCTAATTGCCATCGAGGACATATTGGTCTTCAGCTTGTCTATAAACCCTGCCTACCCTTCACTTGTCTATACATAATCATTGAGCGTTAGCTCATCTATAAAGGTTCCCAAACCTTCAACTGAGCTTCAGCTCGTCTGGCTTTTATGTCGCCTATGAATATGCCCAGGACTTAAGCTTTCCTATAGCCTCCCCGAGCTTAAACTCTCTAAAAACTCCCTCAGCTTCAGCTGATCTATTACTCCTGAGATTTAACTCGTAGTTAAAAACTCCTATCCTTAAGACACTCAGCGCTTCAGCTCGTCTCTAAAGACTCCTTGAGCTTCAGTTCTGGCCGAAATACCCTGAAATACCCCTCCTAAAGCTCAATATTTGAGCTTTATAGCTCATCTATAAAGATTCCCAGACCTTCATCGTTTTTTAAGACTCCTTGAGCCTTATCTTATTTTTAAGTTTTATTGAGCTTTAGTTCATCTATTAAATCTCTATGAGCTTCCACTTGTCTAGAAGTTATTCCTGCCCCTTAGCCCACATATAATGACTACCTGTCCTACAGCATGTCTAAAAGGACTATCTGCCATTCTGAGCGTTTATAGATTTGCAAAGTTTCAGTACGTCACCGAAGACTCCCTGAGCTTCAGTTCATATATAAAGAATATTGGAACATTAGTTCGTTTATAAAGATTACCTGAGCTTCAGCTGGTTTTTTTGAGACTCCTTGAACCTTATTTCGTCTATTAAATCTCTATGAGCTTCCGTTCGTCCAGAAAGTATTCCTGTCCTTTAGCTCAATGACTGTCTGGGCTTCAGTATGTCTAAAACAACGATTTTACTTTCAGACCTCCTACAAAGACTTCCACAGCTTCAGTACGTCAGCGAAGACTCCTCGAGCTTTAGTTCATATATAAAGATTCCCCGATTTTCAGTTCTTTATGAAGATTCTTGGTATTCAGTTTTTTTGTAACGACTTCTTTAGTACTTCTATAAAGATTTCCCTCGATTATAAAATGTTTTCTCATACCCTGGAAACTCTTCTTGACTTTTAGCTCATCAAGAAAGACCTCCGGAGCATCATCTTGTTCATAAAAATTGCCTGAACTTCAGTTAGCCCATAAATTGTTCTGAGTTTCTGCTCGTCAAAAAAATCTCACTGAGTTTTTGCTCGGCTATAAAGACGCCCTGGGCTCCTATTAAGAATGTGTGAGCTTCAGCTCGCCTACAAAGATTTCCTGAGCTTCAGCTCGGTTTTTAAGACTCCTTTAGCCTCTGCTCTTTTTTAAAATCTCATTGAGCTTTAGTTCGTTTATAAAGTCTCTTTGAGCTTTCGCCCGTCTTGAATGTATTCCTGCCCTTTAGCTCGTACATAATAACTGTTTGGGCTTCAGCATGTATACAAGGATTGTCGGACTTTCACACCGCCTATAAAGACTGCTACAAATTCAGTACGTCAACGAAGACTCCTCAAGCTTTAGTTCATATATAAAGATTCCCTGATCTTCAGTTCTTTATGAAGATTTCTTAGCAGATCTCTTTGACCTCTAGCTCGTACGAAAAGACTTCCCAAGTTACAGCTTAGCAAATATATTACAATTACCGTCAGATTTTAAAATTATTAAAACATTTTTAAAGTGTGTTTATTAAAATTATGGCGTAGATTACATCACATATTTAAAAAGAAATAACTTTTCTAGAAATGTTTGGTTTCAAAATAATAAATACTTTTTTTGTATAAAAACAAATACCTCTGATCCTGAACTCATTTCAGCTGAAACTTTATTCAGTAACCTGGCAAATGTCACCTTTTTCTCCAGCTTCGGATCGTTAATGGCTCGCTCCACCGTGGCCGATGTTAGCGAACCAGTATTTTCGGAAAATGTTGTTTCCTTCTGATCACTTTCCGAATCGATGGTACTGCCACCGGCATGTAATCGATTCTCCGACAATGAAATTAATTCACCCAAGCTAACTTTGGGTTTTGACGTTTGGGCAGCCGGTGAGACAAGTTGCTGGAGGATTTGTTTCTTTTCGGCAGCGTTTTTCTTAACGGGTGTAGAATTGTTGCGCTTTTTGCGAGGTGATGGTGAACCTATTGGTGAGAGGGATGGTTAAGAGAGCGATAGAGAAAGAGGGAGAGAGAGAGAGGAAAGAGACAAATAGAAAATGAAAATATTATGATATTTTTTGGTTATTTTTGTTTTTTGTCAGTAAACTATTTTTTGCATTTATTCAATTTGTTAAATTTTAAACATCGAAGACAAAAAGAATATGAAACTGAAAACTAGAAATAAATAATGTGAGTTGATTTTGGATTTATTTTTTTTTTTGGCAGAAAGTTGTTAATTTTTGTCTGGAATTTGCTGGGCACTACGGATATTAGGAAAGCCATCTAAGAAAATTGGAAATGAAATATATATTTTACTAAAGCTATAGAATTAAAAAAAAATAGTTTTATTTTGGGAAGGCAAAGGAAATGAAGGCCATGCTAGAAATAATATTGACTACAATAAAAAATACAAGTTTTGAATAAATGCTTTAAATATAAGCGTCCAACAAAAATTTATTATTAATATAATATTTTAATATATATTTTTTAAATTTGAAAATTTAAATTTAAATAAAAAAAAAATGCAAATTTTCAAAGCATTTATTCAAACCAATTTTTTCTACAAAAATATTGAAAAAATTCAACCAATTTTGGTTGCGTATAAAAATCGTATTAATTTGTTGTTTTAATAAATAAAAAATTTATCTAAACACATAAAAACACACACCGATATATACTATCAACACACGAACACATTTAAAAATATATATTGATATTATATATATAGAAAATATATTTATATAAAATACAATTCGCCCACCAGCAGCCACAAAAGTTTTCCGTAAACATTTTATTTTTTTGTTTGTTCTTTTTCTTTTGTTATTTAATCGAAATAAGAAATAGACTATTAATAATAATATTTATTTTGTTTTTAGTTTTAATTTTATAAAAAAAATATCTCTTTCATTTGTTGTTTGTTTATACATTTTGCTCTGTTGATGTTAATTTAAGCAAATTTTGGTTTTCATAAAATGTTTTTTGTTATAGATTTTTTTACTATTTACAAAATGTCTTTTAATTATATAGGGGAAGATACAGAATGTATAAGCTGTTCAAATTTTAGCTTTATATAATTTCTACTTTATATTATTTGGGGGGTCTTGGGGCAATATTTTATGTTTATTACGAATTTTGTTGTTGTTGTAATAATGTTCATTCCAAATTCATGTCAAAATGCGTGGCATTAAAAGATTTAAATATCAATGGCGTTGGAGTTGGAGTAACATTTAAAAAAAATTTAGTAATTTCGTTTTTTTAGTCGTTTTCGTGTGTAAACACTCCAATTGTCAGGTTCGTTTATAAAGGTTCGTCAATATGACGGTCCACTGTACCAAACGTTTTTTTATCTTTCGCTCGTTAGAATTTTTTTGAAGCTTTATTTCGCCTAAAAGACTCCCTGGCATTTAGTCTCTCTGTAAAGTCTACTTTTACTGCAGCTCATCTATGAAGGTTCCTTGCTCTTCAACTCGTCTATAAGTGTTAATTGGTCATTACTCTATGAAAACATCCTGATCTTATGTTCTCTCTGAGCTTCACTTCGTTTATAAATTATACTAGCATATGTCCGAAACTTCGTTAGCGAATGTGGGAATTATTTAACCCTTTGAGCCCCGAGTTTTTTTTCCGTAGTCATAGAACAATTTTCTGTTTAAAGATTTAATGTAACTATTCTAAATAGAACATGAACAAAATTTGACATCGCTACATCCTTGCATTCGGGAGATACAGTACGTTCATTCTGAAAAATACAAGTCCAATATCAAGGAAAGCTAATGCTAAATCGACGGAAAAATCTTTTTAAATTATTCTCTACATTCTTTTTTACAATAATCAAACATAATTGTGTTGACAGAATTCGTACAATTCGAATACGAAGCGATTTAAATATTTTGAACTGTATACACAAATTTGTACTGTACACATTTTTGCCCTCTTCTCTATATTGAAAAGCTCACTACTTTATCAAAAATATGATTTTTTAAGATTTTTCTTTTGATATGTGTTGTCCATAATCAGGTCTTAACGTGGGCAACATTGGGCCACAAAGGGTTAAAAACCAATACAGACCAAACCCATATTTTCAAAAGTACCTATATATGTCAAGCCAACACACCAATTCTGAACACAACACCCTTACAGTGATTCTAACTCCAAATGTCAAGATTCCAGCTCAATCGGTTTACCTAACTCAAAATTTGGTACAATTTAGTACAAACAATAATCCTTACTCCAAATTTCAGAATCCCAGCTGTATCAGTTCACCCAAAATTCAAATTGTACCAAAATTTAGTACCCATAAGTATGAATTTACAAAACTATATCCATACCCCAATCCAACACTCCAAAAGAAACCCTATTTCCAAATTTCAGCGTTCCAGCTCTATCGGTTCATATAAATCCACATTTGGTACCATTTTGTACGCATTAGTAACAAATTTCCAAAACTTTTTACAAACCCCAATCCAACACCCTTACAACACCAAATGTCAAGATTCCAGCTTTATCGTTCACCTAACTCAAAGTTTGGTATCATTTAGTACACATTAGTATAAATTTCAAAAACTTTCAATATATCCCAATTCTACACCTCAACAGTGACCCTAACTCCAAATTTCAGAATCCCAGCTCTATTGGTTCACCCAAAATATAAATTGTACCAAATATAGTACACGTTGGTACGAATTTCCATAACTTTCTACAAAGCCCAATCCTAACGTCAAATTTCAGGATTCCAGTTCAATCGGTTCACCCAAATTCACATTTGGTACCTTTTCCAAAACTTCCTACATCGGGTCACATACAATTTAAATTGTACCAAATTTTGTTCACATTAGAAGGAATTTCCAAATCGCTCTTAAAACGCTCATTTCAACAAGCCACCCCCCCAACAATGATCCTTACTCCAAATGTCAAGATTCCAGCTCTATCGTTTCACCCAAATCCAAATTTGGTACCATATAGTACTGATTAGTACGAATTTCCTAAATTTCCAACATACACCAATCCTACACCGCAACAATGAGTCTAGCTCCAGATTTAATTGTTCCAGCTCTATTGGTTCACCCAAATCCAAATGTACCAATTATAGTACGATTTAGTAATTTTCGTACACATAGGTAAAAAATTCCAAAACTACACTCCGACGGTAATGTTAATTTAAATTTTCAGTATTCCAGCTCGATTTGCACCTTCAAATCAAATTTGTATCAAATATAGTACCATATAGTACTTTTTCGTACACATGAGTACACGCGTTCCAAACCATCTCCTTATATCGACCCTACTTCTCAACTCTAATTCGCATTCCAAATTTCAAGTTTTTAGCTCTTTCCATTCATATGCTACAAAATTGTACCAAATTTAGTACATTTTTGAACTTTTCGGATACCTATAGTTCGAATTTCCAAAAAAATCCTTTGCTACATCTATTCTGCACTCCATCAGTGACCCTCATTTCAAATTGAATAGAGTTCTAGCTCTACCGGTTTGACAAATACAAATAGTATCACGTTTAGTACTTTTCGTACCGTTCTAGTACAAATTTCCAAAAACCCAGCCTTATCTGTCACCTTTGGACCAAGAGTGACCCTCACCCAACATTTCAAGATTGCAGCTTCAGCCGTTTCGTCTGGGAGTTGATGAATCGTTGTCAGTCAGTCAGTCAATCACTTTACTCTTTTATTTGTATAGATATAGATAGAGAGTTTTAGTTCGTATACAGAAAACGCCCGATCTACAGTTCGTCAATAAAAACTCCACGAGCCTCAGATTTTCCAGAAATTCAGTTCCCCCATAAATATTACCTTCACCTCGTCTATTAAGACTCCTTGAGCTTCAGCTCTCCCATTAAGACTTCTTGAGCTTCTGCTCTTCTACCATGAGCCTCAGATCGTTTATAAAACTCTTTTAGCTCCTCTATAAAGACTCCTTGAGATTCAGCTCTTCTATGTAGACTCTTTGAGCTTCAGCTCCTCCCTTATTTTCAGGGATAACATCGCACATATAATAAAGAATACAATTTTATGTCGATTTAGTCAATCTCTTGTAATCACGATTATGTCCTTGAACCAAATTTGCTCTTACTTTTCTGTCTTTCTTTAGGGGTAGACCCCTATAGTAACCATTCTAAACCTTACACAACTATTTTGCTAGGTTAGTATAGCTCCAAGATTTGTAACGCCGAGAAATATTTGTCTACTTTTCTGACCGCTCTAGAGGTCGCAATAATGAAAAGAGGAACAAGCATGGCCCTCTTGCTTATAGTCGGTCAATATTTAAAGGGTCAATTGAACCAGACTTTTGTGTTATACTACAGATAAGTACTACCGATAATGTGGGCGTTCTACTTAAATATTTACAGGGGTAATTTAAAATTTTTGAAAATTCCCATTGCCACACTAGAGGCCATTAATGTCGCGCGATGATAATTATGAACCGAAAACATTATTTTATCAGGAATTATCATTATCAGGCAACGGAAATTCCGTAAAATTTCCCCTGGATCGGGATTAAGCTTCGCAGAATTTAAATTGTAGGGTATGGTATCGTATGGTCGGACTGTCAAACTATAAGAGGGCAGTTCGGAAAGTTCTTAGCCTAGCACAAAACGCGCGGTATAAAGTTGAGTGTTTTGGAAACTTCCATCCCTGTTATGAACACATATTAAATTTCCATCTGGTAAGTACTTCATATAGAAACAGGCGTTTCAAAAAGACGCATCCTCAATTTTTTACAATGGAGAAACCAGAAAGGAAAGTAGTAAAGTCGAACTGGGCCGACAATATGATACCCTTTATCACTTTGGGTATATTGTACATATGTATCCTTACAATTGCATGCCAATGTTCCCTCATCATCATACGTACCATGGGACAAATTTATGGAAAACGAATCATAGCGAAATTGATACACGCTATTCGGTTAAAATTTAATTAAAAAAAAATGTAATTTAAAAATTTAATTTCAATCAGACATATGGAAGC